CTTACCTTTACTACCAGTTCGCATTGTGCCCGCACATGCTGATTCATAGGCAGATGCAAGGCTTTGACCTGTTTTGCAAAGCCCTCCATGATGCTGCCATTTATTGACACACACAAAAAAAAAAAATAGGGGGGAAACATTGCAAAATGTTGTGACTTCTCTCTACCATCCATTACAAGGCTCCAGGCTCCAGTATGAGCACTGGGCTCTATGTACTAGATTTCATAATCATAATCATAAGTTTATTTGTCAAGCATATATAAGATAAAAGGTAAAAGTATAAACATAATTTGAATACATGAAAAGTAAGTAAAAAGGAATATTAGGACAGGGATGGTAGGCATGCTGGTGCACTTATGCACGCCCCTTACAGGCCTCTTAGGAATGGGGTGAGGTCAACAGTAGACAGTTTAAGGTTAAAGCTTTGGGGGTTTGGGGAAGAAACTACAGAGTCAGGTAGTGCATTCCAGGCATTGAGCACTCTGTTACTGAAGTCATATTTTCTGCAATTGAGTTTGGAACAGTTTACCTTGAGGTTGTATCTATTATTTGCTCGTGTATTGTTGTGGTTGAAGCTGAAGTAGTCATTGACAGGAAGGACATTGTGGCAGATAATTTTATGTACTATGCTTAGGTCAGACTGAAGTCGGCGTAGTTCTAAGTTGTCTAAGCCCAAAATTTGGAGTCTGGTGGCATAAGGTATTTTATTGCAGTTAGAGGAATGGAGGACTCTTCTCGCAAAATATCTCTGGGCTCTCCCGATTGTATTTATGTCCGATATGCAGTGCGGATTTCATTTGAAGGATATTCTGCTACTCCTAAGAAGAGGCTTAGCAAACTGAACCTGCAGGCCAGATTGTAAGACAGAGAGATGGGGAGGTGTTTGACTCTGCCCCTAAAGGACCACAAAGGGATGGATAACTGCTCATCAGTCAGTTGCTCTTTTAGAAACTATAACAATTTAAGCATCTCAGTCTTAAAAAACTCACCTTCAGTTTCCTTTTCGTACCACTAAAAATAAGAACAATTATGGTTCTGCTTAGCTGTTGAGTAGAAGAGAAATTATCGGTTTATGATTCAGATATGCAGCATTTTTCTTGTTGGATTGTGATGTACTTGAATCTGGAATTGGGTTAGTATATGGGAGTCTGATCGTTGTGTATGGTTTTATTTTGTCATTGGGGGCTTGAGATCATATATAAGCAGGAGTGCCATTTCAAGACCTGTTAAATATTGTTTCTTAACTCTGCCTTTGGACTCAAGAAACATTACTATTTAATGGAAATGTTTTTGTAACTCACATGTGAATTACATCACTAAATTGTATCTTGCCACAAGCATTCAATAGTATTTGCAGAAGGGAAGGAGACATACTAGGAATTACAAAACTTGAAAGCAAAGAAGGGAAAATGGTATAAGAGATGCTGAATTATTTCTGGCTCATTAGGTCTTGTCTTAAGAAGTTGCATTTTGGAAGTAACTCCCCTGTTCACTTCAGTCTTTGGGCTGATCAAAACATTGAAGTCATGCCACAATTGTGGTAAACATCTCCAGTCTGGATGAGGATTATAGAAATTCTTGGAGAAAAGCCTATAAAATATGTTAATTATGATGGCCAAAAATAGAATTTTCATGTTGTCAAACAGTATATCTCTGAATAGTAGGGCAAAGAATGGAGTGGTGGTGTTCTATTTTTATTGTGTCTAGATAATTAATAAAATCATATGTACAACGGCATTAAGAACTTAACCTAACCCCAACATAAATAACCACACTATTAAGAAAGGAAGGGGGATTTAATTTAACTATGAAAATGTATAGTTAATTTCAACGATGCTGCTTCTTTGTCCCTTTCTCAAAATAAGAATAAGAATGAAATAAAAACAAAAAACAACCAACAATACCTGTCACAGCTCATCACTTAAATATAGGGTATATTACTCCTTCCATATTTGTGTAATAATGCTTTTAATAAAACTCTTGCAATATTACATTTTTGATATAATGAACTCGAAATTCTGCAGATGTAGTCAACAAACTACTAACCATCCGGCTCAGTGATGGGTTGTCCCCGGTTCACACCGGTTCTATAGAACCGGTAGTAAAACCGGCAGGAGGCTCCGCCCTCTGACCCTGACATCATGAAAATGCTTCTGCGTGTGGCCCCGTTGCGAGCCGGTAGTAAAGGTAAATAGAACCCACCCCTGATTTGGCTGATTTCAATACAGAATATAGCAATGATAGGACAAGTCTGTACGGCACTAAATATGGCTATCCAACTCTGGGAACATATTTGGTTTGACTGTCTTCTTCCCCGATGGATGCAAATAATCTTACTCAATGTAGTCCTACTTCCCAAGTCTTTGGAAGGTATACACCATACAGACCTGCTACTACCCTAACTTCTCCCTTCTGCTTGATGTGAAGTCTATGGAGAACAGAGACAAGAGAGCCTAGTTGGCTGTGGATAGTTTGAATTTGCAATTGAACTGGTCCTAGCAGGCTATGAACTGGGGGTTCTAAGAACTGTAGTACATGCTCCAAGGCTGGTGTCAGAAAGTTTATGAAGAATATTGTTCCTGGTTTTTACTTTATCCATGATTTTTCTTAAGTCTTCACTATAGGTTAAGGTTAACAGGGATGCAGTGGCTCAGTGGCTAAGATGCTGAGCTTGTCGATTGAAAGATCAATGGTTCAGCGGTTCGAATCCCTAGTGCCGTGTAACTGGGTGAGCTCCCGTTACTTGTCCCAGCTTCTGCCAACCTAGCAGTTCGAAAGCACGTAAAAAATGCAAGTAGAAAAAATAGGGACCATCTTTCATGGGAAGGTAACAGCGTTCCGGGCGCCTTTGGCATTTAGTCATGCCAGCCACATTACCAGAGAGACATCTTCGGATAGCGCTGGCTCTTCAGCTTTGAGACAGAGATGAGCACCGCCCCCTAGAGTCGGGAACGACTAGCACATATGTGCAAGGAGAACCTTTACCTTTACCTATAGGTTAAGGATCAATCAAAGGATCACTCCTATGGTAAATACTTTGGATTACAGTTCTTCACATGTACTCTGTGCTTTTAAAATAATTTACTGCTCTGGTATTTTATATTTTGATACACCTTTTATATGTTGTTTCTGTAAATTTTATGTACTATGCTGAATTTTGCTGCTCTATATGAAATAAAATAAACTGGGGGTTCTTGTCCTACAAATAGTTACGATGATTGAAACACAGACATGTCCTTTTTGCATATAGTTTTCAAAGCACTTGTAACTTTCACATAAAATCTCTTCATCCTAGAAAAACATTTTGCCAGCTGTCTTTCGAAAGCTTCGGCTTCTTTCCACCAGATATGCCACAATGAATGGTGTCTGTGTAAGTCCATTTTTTATCCTCAATTACTGCACAGAATTATTATTAAAATAAGCTGTTTTTCTTCTCACTTCTCAAGCTATATTCCTAAATTTAGGTTAACCTCCCATTTTATGTAAAATGTTATTAAGCTGTATCTGATGTCTGGATTCTTTCCTCCATTCCTGCTTTCCTCAAAAGCTGTGTCTTCTCAACTTATTCCCAGTATTTCCCTTTTGTTTTCTCCATCTTTTGTTTTCTTTCCTGGGGAAAGTCAAAGGAACATTGCAAGGTGTATTTGTTTTAACTCTCAGATATTCCCTGTTTCAAGCAGGGCATAAAGTTCACCAAAGATTTCTGTTTTCTAGTTGTTTAATAAAAGAAGCCATAAAATGGCCCCTGTTGGTCTAAATGAAAAAAAAAAAAAAACCTGGGGAGAACTGAAATGAAAAAAGTTTGGAATAATTAGGAATGTTTTTGGGGCAAAGAGCTGAGATCTTCATTCGGTTGAGACACTAACGACAAGTTCATGGCACAGAATGTGCAGGTCAAGATGTTTATCTTTTGAACCACTTCTCCAATCACAAGATTCCAGTTTAAAAAAAAATCACGTCTATCCCACAAGGCTAAATTTTGCTCACCCTCTTTCTGTTTTATATCTAAGCAAATAGATATTGGAGTATGAATAGTGTTCCTGTGATTCTCAATATTGACCATCGTAAGGCTATACTCTCATTCAAAATCCCATTGATAATTCTGACAGCATGAATGAGCCACAAGTAAAAATAGCCATTCACAACTGTACTGATATGAATGGAATTGCAAGAGAGGCTCATAGTCAAGAGTTTTGCCAATGCAGAACTGAATGAAGGTTGAAGATCTGGGCACCCTTGCTTAGCAGATAACAGTAAAAAATAATTACAATTATACTAATACTCAGATGCCTTTGGGTAGAAGAGATTACTTTTTATCTTCAATATATGTTATGCATATACTTAAAAGAGCAGATACTATTAATAAAAACATTTCCATATAATGTACCACTGGATGATAAACTTCAAGATATTCCTTCCTGATTACTGAATTTCTACAAAGTCTGGGTGGAGAAATACACTTTCTAATGCTTCATTGTGAAGCAACTGAATAGTACTATCCCATATGGAATAGAGTCATAAACTTAATTCCATTTTTATTGCTCATCTTATCCCCAAGCAGATGGATAGCTTCATTGCAGCCTTAACGTGAAAACTGCATCAGGCCACACACACACACACACACACAGAGGTGGATGAGTGTATATATGTGTGTATACACACACACAAACACACACACACACACACACTTGTGAATGTAGTGTAAAATTCATTTAAGTCTTATTGCAACCCAGTAACTTGACTGCCCACCTGAGATATCTCTGTAAGAAAACACAGGTGTTTCTCACACATCAACAGCTTCTGAATAAATGAAACTGCTATTTTCTATGGATCTTTAATTACTGAAAAAAGAGAAATGGTGTTCCTAATTCCCAGGATTGTGCTTTTGGGATGTTTGATAATGTGTGTGCATGTATATTTTTACTGCTGGCGACTGCCTGGGTGAGTCCCTGCAAATATCTAACTTGCATCAAGAAGCAATTAGACAAAATGGTACTCACCTAGGATGTTTCCTATGAGAGCCACAAGAAACACAATAATATAGCCAACAATGAGTACCCATTCATATTCCTTGGGATGCAGATATTCCTTCCAGAGATATCGCAGAAATTCTTCCTCATCGTAGTCCGTGGGAGGGCTTGCAAAGGGTTCCCGAGTCCCATTCACTGATACATTAGAAGACCAGTTTGTGCAAGAAAGAAAGCCATCTTCCACTTGAGTCACAGACATAATTGGTTCTGCTCTGGGTCTGAATTTGGTCTTTCAGGGGGTTAGCCTACCTTTCTGCCTATCAGACATAACTGCATTCAGCAATAGGAAGAAGGGGGGGAAAAGTAGGCAGAAAGAGGAAAATGGGGAAAATAGAGCCAGGTGTTATCGATGGAACTTCCTCAACTAGCTTTACATCGAGGATCTCCCAGTGGCAGGATGCATGTTGCAGCTCCAGAGGCACTAAGGTTGTCGTAACACAGCAGCAGGCATGAGAAGCAATTCCTGCATATAGCGTCTTAATTCAGCCAGAGGGTGTGCGAAGCACATTCTTTGCAGTGACAGGCAAAATGAAAAAATGCAGCGTGTTCCGAGGGACTCTAGAGATCATGAAATGAGAAGGGAGAGAGAGTGTGTGTGTGTCCCTGTGCACACTTGCAACTGAGTGGGATTGTAAATCCACCAAGGACTTTTGAAGGTGCCCTTTTACTCTTCGATCAAATGTTTGTACAATCCATTGCCTTTCGTGATACAGTGATGTTTTGGATTGGATGAATGAATCACAGATCTTTCTTTCTTTTTCTTTTTTTTAATCTCTTGTAAGGGAGCATTTTTATTCTCAAGGAATGAAGGCTCTCCTCTCCTTTCAAGTATTTGATTCTGCCTGACTTTGGAAAATTATAGCATATCATATAGGACAAGAATAAAAGAATATTGGACGGTTCCCAATGGCTAGTGAGCTGTACAGAAAATTGCTTGGGTATTGATGAGAGTGTGACCTTTGCTTAAGTTCATGGAGTTGAAGCACGCATTCTGTTCAGAATTCTTGCAGGAGTATTCTGTCCTTCCCCAAAGGAAGGAAGGAAGGAAAGAAGGAAGGAAGGGAAGGAGGGAGGGAGGGAAGGACAATCCCATTTATCACTACCATAAAGATAAAGGTAAAAGTTTACCCATTCCAGTCCTATCTGACTTTAGGGGATGTGTTGTGGTCCGCCAGCAGCCTGCGGAGCTGGTAGCAGAGTCAGACAGTGAGGAGGCTGGGGAGGAACATGGGCCAGTCCTGGAGTCTGGGAAAGGCCCCAACGAGGGCTCTGCATCGGAGGTGGAGATGGGGCCAGGGCCATCTGGGAGTGATGCATGGACTCTGGAGCCCCCAGAGTTGGACAGCAAAGAGGCAGAGGAACAGGAGGAACCTGTTCCTAGTGCACACATGCGCAGAGCTGCCAGAAGGCAAGAGCAGCTAAAGCAAAAGGGACGACTCAGGAGTAAGGCCAGGAGATGATTGGCCCCTCCCATAAGTGTTATAAGAGAAACAGAGGCACTTGGGCCTTTTTGCAGGAAAGTAACGTTGCTAACTCTGTTTCCAGTCGGCATCTCTTGTTGTTTCCGAATCTTGTGGGGCTTTGCCAAGTAAGGCCTTTGGCAAGATGTCAAAGAAGATAAAGGTTGGTGATAATCCCGAAGGACTTCTTCCGAAGGACTTGTTTTGCAACTAATTGGGACTCAGCTGGGAATGAACGTAATTCTCAGCTGTTACAATAAAATAGGTTTATTTGGGACTAATTGTGTCTTGTAATGACTCAGTAAGCCTAGGTCACAACAGCATGGTGCTCATCTCCGTTTATTAGCCGAGGGAGCCAGCATTGTCTGAAGACACTTTCGTGGTCATGTGGCTGGCATGAATATGGTGCATGGAACACTATTACCGTCCCACAAAAATGATACCTATTTATCTATTTGCATTTGCCTGCTTTTGAACTGCTAGGTGGGCAGGAGCTGGGGCAAGAACAAGAGCTCACCCTGTCACATAGTACTTGAACTGTCAATCTTTTGGTCCACGAGTCCAGTGTCTTAACTGCATAAGGCACCAATGAATAATTTCACCAGATGATTGCACTTGTTGTTCATGAAGGAGTGGGCAAAGAAAATTCTCTGCTCTTGGAAGTAGAACAAGTCTTCTCAGACAATTTTTGTCTGTACCAGTTGTGAAGACTAAATGTAAAATACAATTTCAAAATCTTAGCAAACAGATCCACATTGCCACCCTCTCCAGCTAATCTTTTTCTTTAAATAAGAAATATGACAAATCCAGTCAAACCAACATTAACAGGAATTCATATACCAAGCCAATTTCCTCGTAAAGCAGGAATTGCCTGGATAGGAGGACCTATCTAGAAGACATCTGAACAAGTCATTCAAATGACTAATAGGTCACATAGATTTTCTCTCTTTAGAATCTGCTTCTGTCCTGGCCCCACAATAAAATTTGGATGAAATTTGCCTCATTTTCAAGCAGTTGTCAGAGTTCAAAGAATAACCATGTTATATAGTCCTTTACAAAGACCCTGAAAGTTCCTGGTAAGTTTGTTGGGAAATTTGTTGTTATTGTTCATTTGCTAAGTCGTGTACTACTCTTCGCAACCCCATGAATCATAGCATGCCAGAGTCCCCTGTTTTCCATCATCTGCCAGAGATATTAGGAAATTTGTTGAATTTTAAAAAGCAGTTAGCAATTTATGACCCCTTTCTGTTTGATGCTTGAATAAATGCAGTGCATTGGAGGCTGGAATTGATTTCCTTTGCACAGTTCAGGCAGGGAGCAGTTTTATCCATTTGCTTGACTGCTGGGTGTTCATGCTTAGCCCTCTTAAATAAGTCACAGGAAATTTCATGAAAATGGAACATGGACACAAATCAAGCATCAGGATTCCCATGTGTTCATATCAAGAAACAGGGGTGGGCTGCTGGAGGTTTGCAGGGGTTCTGGAGTACCTCTAGCTAAGATGTTGTGCAGTTCAGAGAACCTCCAAATCCCACTCCTGGCTGGCCCTGCCCCACCCACCCCGCCCCTCCCAGGAGTCCCCCCGTTTTGGATGCAGGTAAGTGCAGGGCGTATGCAGGGAGGGCAAAAACAGGCCTACCAGAAGTTCCTCCAGAGGGCCTCCAGAGCCTGGGGGGGAGGCTGTTTTCACCCTCCCAGAGGCTTGAGGAAAGCCTCTGGAGCACAGGGAGGGCAAAACACTCCCCCCTGCGGTGGTGCAGGAGACCGGCTAGGCCACGCCCACCATGGCCATGCCCACCCAGGAACCAGGCAGAGAACCCCTTGCTAAAATTTTTGAAGCCCACCCCTGTCAAGAAATGTACTTCACACAGGTGGTAGTAATTACCTGAAAGATAAGCAGGGCGAATGATAATATGACATTCCATGCAAGGATGCAAAACTGGGGACCTTTTATCATTTATGGTGGACATGTGACCGAGCAAAGAAATATTGGAGTAGGATTCACATCTTAATACAGAAGGTTCTTAAAGTGAATATAAGGATAAAATCTGAGGCTTTTCTTTTGGGTTTAAGGGAAAAAGATTTGTGGGGGGGGACGGACAGTGGTGAAATCCAATTTTTTTTACTACCAGTTCTGTGGGCATGGCTTGGTGGGCATGGTGTGGCTTGGTGGGAGTGGCAGGGGAAGGATACTGCAAAATCTCCATTCCCACCCCACTCTGGGGCCAGGCAGAGGTGGTATTTGCCGGTTCTCTGAACTACTCAAAATTTCCACTACTGGTTCTCCAGAACCTGTCAGCACCTGTGCTGGGTTTCACCCTGGGGGGTTGGGGGGGGCGGCTTTGATGTTATATATGTTGATGGCAGCAAGATTACTTTATGCACAAAAATTGAAGGACGCTTTGATTCCTACAATGGATGAATGGCTGCAAAAGTTGATAGAGTTAGCAGAGATACCCAGATTGAGTGGTCTGATAAAAGAAAAGAACACAATTAGCTTTATTTCTACTTAGAAATCACTTTTGCTTGAGGTGGGGGAAAAATTGAAACTTTGGTTTTGGGTTTTGCCGATTAGATAGGTTTGTTATTATAGAAAGGGCTAGTATGTATTATTATATAAAAGTAAAAAGTTGAGGTTTGATGCTATTATCTTATTCTACTGCACCAAAGGGAGTTGGAAGTAAACGCTTTTTCCTTCTTCTTCCCTCCCTTCTTTTCCTATTATTTTCTTTTATGTTTCTGTATTTCATATTAATAGAATTTTGAATGTGGAAAAAGATGCAGAACAAATACTCTATTATCAATAAGTAGTAGGCTTTGTGAAGAAGGTTAATTAAGCAGGAACTCTGGAGAAAGTGAAGAGGTGTCCCATTATCCTATAGGAAGGAACTAAAAAAAAATCACTTGTCTTCCACTAAAACTCCTAAACACAGAAAGCACAATCAAGAGTTTTGACATTTGAAAGAATCTTATGATACTTTTCATGCGTTTTATCCAAGTCAAGGGCATCAGGGTTCCCCTAGGTTAAAACCCACCCATGTTTTAAAATGCAAATAATAATAAAATGTAACAGCATGTGATAAAGTGTATTTATAGCAGCCCGTTCTGAAAGACATTTGCCTCCATATAAAAGACCTGAGAGGTGAAGCCAATATCTTTGGTAGTTACATTGATTTTAAAAAATGTAAAAGATTCAGAGCAGAACAGAAGCAACAATTTACAATAGCCCATGTAATTTGAAAAGCTGTATCTCAAGTTTATGGCACGATTAAATTTTAAATGAGACAAACTATCCATTCTGTAGCAGTTGTTTCTCCTTGTGATGAACTTTATGAGGAAAAAAACAACTTTTGTCTAGTTCACCTTGAACCTGAACTGGGTGACGTATTAGTTGCTTCTTGATCTTTTAAATTTTAATAGAATCAAGAAATAGATGTCTTGATCTTTTTCTCACTGTAGCTCAGGGATGTCAAACTCAAGGCCACCGACCCAGATCTGGTCCGTGGGGTGCTTGGAACTGGTCTGCAGGTCCACTCTGGAAACAGCAAAGGACCAGCCTGCAGTACCTCTGCCATTGAAAATGGACTTGGGAGGGCCATGCACGCCACCCTGGGCTCCGTTTTCATTGGCAGAGGGCTGCAGGAAGCCATCGTGGCCGAAAATGGAGCCTCAATGACTAATGTTGACCTTGGCCATGACCACCCCAGTTACACCCACCCCGACCCCCAAGGTCAAACACAACCCTGATGCGGCCCTCAATGAAATCAAATTTGACATTCCTACTGTAGCTTATCTTTAACAACTATTCCCCACTTTCCCCTTGTGTCAGTAAGGAACTTACAAAGCATATCCTGGATATTAAATGAAGAAGTTTGTCCAGACCAATGCACAAAATGGCTGCAAACTGTTTTATTTCATTGATTAATTTATAAATATTTATGCATTATCTATTAGCTCAAATTTTCTTTCAAAAAACTTCATGGTCATTATACTAAATTTGCAGG